GAAAAGCAAAGGAGAAAGTATGTTTCCCTTTCCTGAAGATTCATGTGAGGTTTTAAAGTTACCAATTAAAGTGGAGAAGTTAAGATCTTTTTCCTTTACAAGTAAGTTTTGCTTCTCCTTTTGATAATTGTAATGAATTAAAACGTTTTGCAGACATGGAGCAGAATAAAAGTGAGCTTGCAAGATTAACAAGCAAAATTATAAAATGCCCATTTTACTAGGACTTTGTAGGTGGTTGGCTTCTTTACAAGCCACTGTCCTCCTTGAAAAGAAAATGTTAAAAAAAAAAAAACCTTGCTAACAACTGTAGTTTGGAATTTTTAAAGAAACATTATGTCTCAAGTATTCTTATACATATTACCACAATGTTTTTGTTTGTGGCTTCTATCATCAAGGCTAAAAATTCTGCCTCTCTTCCAATACATCATTTTCAGAAGATCGTGAAAACACGATACCTATTCTGTAACAAGCCAGGGAAACTATCTGAGGGTCTCCTGCACACTGACAGTGTCGATCCTAAGACTAGAGATATTTTTGTTAAACATTCCATGTATATTTCATTAGTAAGTGGTGGGGGGGAAGCATGTATTTAAAAAAAAACTATCATCTCTGAAACTACCTTTCTATTAGGTATTTCCTCTAAATGACTAGTGGGACCTTTCCCCTATCTTCAGTACAACTGAGAAACATAAAAAACTTGCAGAATGTATGAACAGTGATAACTAGAAACCCTGAAAAACCTTAACAATGAATCTTGGGATAGCTGAGAACTGGACTGCAAAAATGCCTTTCCAGTATGTGGCTCAAGTGTGTAGCACTCCGAGGCTGCCCCACCTGACATCAGCAAAGGAGGGTCACCCCAGAGCAGCTTCCAGGCCTTCTTCACATGCATGGAAAACCTGTCAGCAAGTGTGTGTGCTGTTTCTTGGGGTGGTCTGGACCAAATACTGCTGCCACCACGTAGGGAGGAGTGTTGGCTGAGCTATACTCCTTGGTGAATTGGTCGGCATTTTCTTAACTTGTTCTGATAGAATCCTTGTGCACTGCAAAACTCCTGCCTAATTACAGTTTAATCCCTTGCCTATTTACAGTTTCAAATCTCTTAGTTGTTGAACAGTGTACAAAAAATAAATTATTTTGGCCATATTAACTAATGGATGCTTCTATTTTTGGAGCATAAAGGTTGCTTAAAAATGTTGAGTGTCATTAAAAGATAGTTAAATACATTTGAATCTAATATAATATTGTCTTTGAGCAATGGCAGGATAAACAGCTTTAGAAAGTATATGATGGGGAACTGCATTAAAATTTTTCCCATATGGGTTTTCTTGTTACAAAAAAGCATTTAAAAATAAGTTAAGAATGCTATATTCGCACATACACACTGTAATACGTGCGTTTAATCATCGTAATGAGGAGAGCCAGGGAAGCAAGTTGTAATAATTTGTTTTCATTATTTCCCTTTCTGTTCAGAATGCATCAGAAGTCAGCACTTTGGTTCTGCATGTCGGTGAAATGTCTCCCTGCTCCTCAAGATTTCTGTGCTTAGAAAATGTTCATTTTATTTCCTACAAATAGACTCAATGGAAGTGCTTATTCTTAAAGTTTGCAGGCAAAATTCAGTCCTGTATATGATATATTGGAATTTTTTACTTGTATTCCTTTTATTCAAGACTATCTTGTGAAATTTGTTCTTATCTGTAACTTTTATGGAACGTTGAGGACATTCACACTTTGACAGTGAAACAGCCAAAGCCTGAGCACAGGAGAAACTGGGAGCAAATGTGCTTATTCAGATGCTAATGGATGTTATACAGGCACTTCTAACTTATTTGCCTAAATCTAAATTGAAAAATAAAAAATCTAAATTGTATTGAAGAATTTTTTCCTTCACTAATTGTAGTTTTTAAAATATGTTTTAGTCAAAATCAAACTTATGATGAACTTGCTTCTCTCCAACAATTATCTGCTTCCTAAACTGTTAACAGGTCTTAATGGTCAGAATGCCATTTTTTTACACAATTTCCTTCTTAAACTTCGAAGAAATGTAAGTAGAAGATTATTTCACTTTCACAAGAATATCTGCCTTGGATTGAGATTATCATGTATATTTAATTGCTTTAAACAAAATAACTTATTTGACAGAAGGTACTTAAATATTCTACACACAGTTCTACAATTGACAAAAACTTAAAATTTAGCAAACCTGCCAATGGTAAAAAAAAAAAAAAATGAAATTACCTATGGGAACACTTCTCAACATCTCTAAATTTAGAAGTGAACCATAAAAATATTTAACTTATAAAACTAATGGGAAGGTAAAAATGCAAATCATTAAGATAAATAGAAATTTGGATCAAGACCTTTGGCAAACAAACATAAGATCTTTGTGAAAAGCAAAAGTGGTATTTTTCTGTGTCATGTGTTAACAAAGAAAATTTGGGCAGTGTTTGTTTCTAAAGATATAATGTATTTACAATATATAAGTTAATTCTTTCAACACCGAACTCCTTTTAAATGATCCAGAAGTCAACCTGCCTTTAAAGCATACTCTCAGTGAACTGTTCCCGGTATATACTCCCTATAAAGAAAAAGTATTCTTTTAATAAGATACATACTGTATAAAATTTCAGATTTGTATACTGTATGAAATGTATACCATATAAGTTATACATTTTATCCCTTCCAAAGAGTTAAGTGTTGAAAATATTTCAAGGAATCAGTATTTAATTCTTGAGACCTTCTTTTTAAAAAAGTATTAAAATAATGCATTTTATATCACTGGAAAACAACTTTTTAAACATTCCCTTGATTAGTTATAATAGTTTTATATATATTTGATTGCTTAATACAAAAAAACTTTAATGGCTACTTAGTTTTATTTACTATGGAGATCCTGCAGAACATTCCACTGTTAAAAAGAAATTTAAAGTAGAAATTCTTTGCATTTTTGTGATATCTTTAAAATACATGACTAGAATTTGAGATCATTTTTATTGCTTATCATTAAATCATTTACAGGAAGATTTAAGGCTTTTAATTTTTTTCCTTATTCCATAACCTGAACAGGCTTAAAATTAGATTTTGAATGGTTGGAGCAAAGTCGAGTACTCTGAGTGTTTATTTCGTTAATGTGCTATCTGCAGCATTAATCAGCTGTGCCTTTGCTTCCAGCTATGGTCACCTTCATTACAGACACTCCCTACAGCCCTTCCTCCACGCAGTAAGGAGACTCTGAATGCAGTCTGATCTCCAGCACTGAATTTAGTTTAAAAGTCCAGCAGGCTTTATGGGCTGCAAGCTCTAACTTCTTTTCCGTGTCAAATGGGTTAGCCAGTTAAAAAAAATACTAATTGAACACTGCTAATAATTTTTTAAAGGCATGTATAAATTACCCAGATATAATGGCTTCACGGAGAGTCACAGACTGCCCTCAAAAAATACTTTTCATTTCCAGTAGATAGGAACTGTGTGTTTTTACAGGATATTTTTAATTAGATTTCTCTATTGAATTCAACGCTGAATTCTTTATTATCAAAAGAAAACACTTAATTTTTAGCAGATACATTTGTTGATGTTGTAACTTATTTTGGGGACACAGACTTGAGGGTGTTCTCATACTCAACTGTGTGTGTTTAACAAAGCTGACTTACATTTGCAGCCTACTGGGGCACACTGACTCAGAACCATCAGTCCGTCCATAAATTGACAAAAGGTGGTTTTAATAGGAGTCAGTGATGTCCAGGCTATCACACAGAGCCCGGGTAATTATCGGGAATTACTTTTCACCCCAACTACCCCAAAACCAGGAGCTAGAAATGCTATCGTTTGTTGATTCCTTCTTCCTGTGTAGCTATTTATTTGATCAGGTGTGAATTAGAGTTGTTCATTAAACGTGGTGGTTATTCGGCACAAGAGGGTTAGGGGAGACAGAGGAAGTGGCTGCCTGTGACAGTAATTAAACATGTGTAACCAATTAGAGGGTTTTCCACTATGGCACAAGCATATAATTTGCTAAGTCTTTCCATGAGAATAGATGAAAATAGGTACAAAAAGTGTGTCTGGCTACAACATTTTCATGTTAAACATGTCAACATAAATGAACTTTAAATATATAATTTCTAGTTTGTTAGCAAACCACTGAACTCTATTGGCTAATAACAATAACATGTAATTTTACTTCATTTTGCCAAGAAATATTGCATCTGACAGAGCCAATTAATTGTATTAAACATGATTAATTTTAGGCCTAGACTATATTGATATTTATTTGGCAAGTTCTAAACCGTAGAAACGTAACCTATCTGTAGAAGTACAGATGCATAAAAAGATACTGATTGGCTCGGGGCTGGAGGGGGGGTGTTCCAAACAGATGCAAAAAGTGCTTGTGTTTTGGATGTTACATTTATAAATGAAAGTGTTTAGCCGAAATTTCTTACGTGAAATGAATGCTTATTGATTCCAAAGGTTCTGTAGAATTACATTCAACCTGCAATATCTCCTCGCTGCATGAAGATCATACATCTGCAGGTCCCAGACCACCCCCACCACAGCGCCGGCCCCCTGTCAGGCGCCGACGTGAGTTTGAAAGGTTACAGATTAGTTTAGCGATGTTAAGTGAACTGGCAAAGGCATCTCTAATTTTGCTGGAAATAAGGACGCCCGATAGTAACGGGGACCCTAATGAGCTCATCGAAGGCTGGCTTTGTGCGCAGCGGACAGGGCAGCCGCGGATTGTATGAGGGTATCGGGAATCGATGGCGTCTATGGAATGTCATTAGCAGCGGTATCCACCATTGATAGGGCCTCATAATTTGATGGATTCTGCGAAGAAAATGATTAGCTAGCTAGAGAGTCGCAGAATGCACACACTGGGGCGTCAGAAACGTTGAAGTGGGGTAATTTGTGCAAAATAAAAAATATTGATTTTACTCTCGTGCGAAACTCGGAGGCGGCGGCTGGCAGCGTGCGCCGGGCTCACGGCTCTCTCGCTTTTCCAGGCGCCCCCGGGGACGGCGCGGAGGCGGCGGACGGCGGCCCTGAGGCCCGCGGCGGCGAGGAGACCAGCGTGTGCGAGCACTGCTGCGCCGAGTTCTTCAAGTGGGCCGACCTCCTGCGGCACAAGCAGAGCTGCACCAAGAATCCACCGGTGTTGATCGTGCAGGACGATGAGCCAGCGCCGCCTTCCGAGGACTTCCCGGAAGCGTCTCCCGCCAGCTCCCCCAGCGAGCACACGGAGAGCGAGGCCGCCGAGGAGGAGGGCGCGGAGGGCGAGGCGCGGCCGGCCGGCAGGGAGGCCCGCGAGGCCTCAGAGGCTGCGGACACCGAGCCCATGGACGTGCAGCCCCCGGCGGAGCAGGGCTGTGCCGGCCCTGGTGCCCCCAGCGCGGCCCGGCCCGCGCCCACTCCGGCTCCCACGCCCGCCTACGGCATGCCCAGCACCAACGTGACACTGGAGACGCTGCTCAGCACCAAGGTGGCGGTGGCGCAGTTCTCCCAGGGTGCGCGGGCAGCAGGCGGCGCAGGCGCCGGTGGCGGCGTGGCTGCGGCGGCGGTGCCCATGATCCTGGAGCAGCTTCTGGCCCTGCAGCAGCAGCAGATCCACCAGCTGCAGCTCATCGAGCAGATCCGCAGCCAGGTGGCCTTGATGCACCGCCAGCCCCTGCGCCCCTCACTCAGCCCCGCTGCGGCCCCAAGCACACCTGCGCCAGCCTCCAGCCAGCTGCCCGGGCTGACCGGGGCCCCCGCCCTGCCGCTCTCAGCCGCCAACCCTGGCACTGCCGCCCCCGTAGTCTTCGAGGGCCCACAGCCCCTGCCACGGCCCGCATCGGGTGCCAGTACCCCTGGTGGCCCCGCGGTGCCCCCAGAGCCTGGCACACCCGCGGCCCCCAGTACGGCCCCAGGCCCTGGCGCCCCACAACCCCCAAACGCCACCACGCCCCCCGCCCTGGGCCCCGCACCGCCACCACTGGGATCGGCCCCCAGCCTGCCAAGCCCACTTCTACCTCACACCTCCTCGAGCAGCGTCATTTTCCCCAACCCACTGGTCAGCATCGCAGCCACGGCCAATGCCCTGGACCCCCTGTCAGCCCTTATGAAGCATCGCAAGGGTAAACCCCCCAATGTGTCCGTGTTCGAGCCCAAGGCCAGCGCCGAAGACCCCTTCTTCAAGCACAAGTGCAGGTTCTGCGCCAAGGTCTTCGGCAGCGACAGCGCGCTGCAGATCCACCTGCGGTCGCACACGGGGGAGCGGCCCTTCAAGTGCAACATCTGCGGGAACCGCTTCTCGACCAAAGGCAACTTGAAGGTGCACTTCCAGAGGCACAAGGAGAAGTACCCCCACATCCAGATGAACCCCTACCCCGTCCCAGAGTACCTCGACAACGTGCCCACCTGCTCGGGGATTCCCTACGGTATGTCGCTGCCCCCGGAGAAGCCTGTGACCACCTGGCTGGACAGCAAGCCCGTGCTGCCCACGGTACCCACCTCGGTGGGACTGCAGCTGCCTCCCACAGTCCCAGGAGCCCATGGCTATGCGGACTCCCCCAGTGTCACCCCTGCTAGCCACTCCCCACAGAGGCCATCCCCGGCCTCCAGCGAGTGCCCCTCCTTGTCCCCTGGCCTCAACAACCCTGAGTCAGGCATCCCAGTGTCTGCCGAGTCCCCGCAGCCGCTCCTCAGCACATCTCTGACGAAGACTGAGCCGCTGGGCCTGCCCGGCACCACCGCGAGGGCAGGTGACGCCCCGGCCGGAGGCCCGGCCAGCTCAGCATCCACGTCCACCACCAGCGCGGCCGGCCCAGCCACGGACAGCGTGTCTGCAAGCCTGGGCAGCCCTGGGCTCCCTGTGGTCTCCGACCAGTTTAAGGCGCAGTTCCCCTTCGGGGGGCTGCTGGACTCCATGCAGACGTCGGAGACCTCGAAGCTGCAGCAGCTGGTGGAGAACATCGACAAGAAGATGACTGACCCGAACCAGTGCGTCATCTGCCACCGCGTGCTGAGCTGCCAGAGCGCACTCAAGATGCACTATCGGACGCACACGGGGGAGAGGCCGTTCAAGTGCAAGATCTGCGGCCGCGCCTTCACCACCAAAGGCAACCTGAAGACGCACTTCGGCGTGCACCGCGCCAAGCCGCCCCTGCGCGTTCAGCACTCCTGCCCCATCTGCCAGAAAAAGTTCACCAACGCCGTGGTCCTGCAGCAACACATCCGTATGCACATGGGCGGGCAGATCCCCAACACGCCTCTGCCTGAGGGCTTCCAAGACAACATGGACTCCGAGCTTGCCTGTGACGAGAAGAGCACGGAGACCCTGAGCGGCTACGACGACGACATCGAGGACAACTCCATGGAGGAGGACGCTGAGCTGAAGGACTCCACCAGTGACCCCGCCAAACCACTTCTATCCTTCACAGGGTCCTGCCCGCCCTCACCACCCTCTGTCATCTCCAGCATCGCTGCTCTGGAGAACCAGATGAAGATGATCGACTCGGTCATGAACTGCCAACAGCTGACCGGTCTGAAGTCCATGGAAAACGGGTCAGGGGAGAGTGACCACCTGAGCAACGACTCCTCATCCGCTGTAGGAGACCTGGAGAGCCGCAGTGCTGGCAGCCCCGCGCTGTCCGAGTCCTCGTCCTCACAGCCACTGTCCCCCACCAACAGCAACGGGGAGAGCTTCCGCTCCAAGTCGCCAGGCCTGGGTGCCCAGGAAGACCCACAGGAGATGGTCCTCAAGACCGAAAGGCCGGACAGCCCATCCCCAGTCCCAGGAAATGGAGGTGCCCTGGACCTGACCGCTGGCCCTCCCGGCCGGCCAGCCATCAAGGAGGAAGCCCCCTTCAGCCTGCTGTTCCTGAGCAGAGAGCGGGGTAAGTGTCCGAGCACTGTGTGTGGTGTCTGTGGCAAGCCCTTTGCTTGCAAGAGCGCGTTGGAGATCCACCTCCGCAGCCATACCAAGGAGAGGCCCTTTGTCTGCGCGGCCTGCGGGCGCGGGTGCTCCACTATGGGTAATTTAAAACAGCACTTGCTGACGCACAGATTGAAAGAGCTGCCTTCTCAGGTGTTTGACCCCAACTTTGCTCTAGGTCCCAGCCAAAGCACTCCTAGCCTGGTCTCCAGTGCCGCGCCCATGATCAAAATGGAGGTGAACGGCCACAACAAGGCCATCACGCTGGGCGAGGGCCCACCGCTGCCAGCTGGAGTCCAGGTCCCTGCGGGGCCTCAGACAGTGATGAGCCCAGGCCTCACACCCATGCTGGCCCCTCCACCACGCCGGACACCCAAGCAGCACAACTGCCAGTCCTGCGGGAAGACCTTCTCCTCAGCCAGCGCCCTGCAGATCCACGAGCGAACCCACACTGGAGAGAAACCATTTGGCTGCACCATCTGTGGCAGGGCCTTCACCACCAAGGGCAACCTCAAGGTAAGGGCATGGCAGGCCCAGGCTGCCACAGCTGCCATGGCTGCCAAAGCCACAAGGGTTCCTCCCATGGATGGCCATCTCCACCACCTGCCTTAGATGCACCAGCAGGGTCCTGCTGTTGGCTGGGGGATGGGGCACTGTGGGTGTGAGTGTGTAATGTGTGTGTGATGTACAGTGTGTATGGGTCATGTATGTGTGCACATGTGCAAGGGTGGCATGTGAGTGTGTAGTATATTTGCACACGTGTAGCATGGGGGGGGTGTTTGAATGCATGTGTGCACACACTTTTTGCGGTGGCATCCTATTAAGTGGCTGTGAGACACCAGTCTGGACCTCTCCTTTCCAAGGGGCTTGTGCAGCCCTGCGTGTGATGGGGGTAGAGAGGTGAGTCAGCGCTCTTGAATTTAATAACAAATTAACTCAGCCTTTAGTACTCACACATCGTACAAATAATGCAGGGATGAGGCATGCTTAGCGACTTGTAGAGGACTCTGTCCTGCCCATTGGCTGCTGGAGGGGTGAGTGGTGAGGTGCTCCCTGGTGAGGGCAGGGAGGAGCAGCCACTGTGCCGAGTTGTGAGTGAGATCCCAGCAAGGCTGTGCATTCTCAGAAGGTGGGAAGTTAGAGGAGAGGCAGTGTGACACCCCCCAGCCTATGGTTTTTCACCAGCTCAGGTTGGTGGGCTGTCTCCGTCCTGTGTAAAGTATGTGTTTGTGCAGCCAGCCTGTCTGGGCCTCAGCGGCCTCTTATACTGTCAAAAGATCGATACCTGTGGCCTCCACACAGGTGTTTGTCAATGGGAGGAAAGCCGCTGGGGGGTCTGCTGCCCTAGGTGGCCCTGGGACGCTTTAGAATTAATGTTTTTTTCTTGTTTGAGAAAAGGCAGAAGGAGAATGCAAAGAGTTCAAGCATTAGAAGATTTAGTGGGTGTGGTGAGAGTGTTGAGAGCCATGGCTCAGCTGAGGCAGTGGGGTAAGACCCTGGACCCTTGGAGCTCTAGAACATTCTCTGGGTGGCCTCATGGGTTTTACACCTTAGGGAAAAGTTATTCTATCAAGTGTGTCCCATGAAAAGAGTGTATTCATTACCTGACATATGCTGACTTTGCTTTTTGTATTCTGTGAAATGGAATGTTCCCTATCTGATATCAGTTGCTCAGAAAGGCTCCCTGAAGCTCCCTTGTCCTCACATGTGCTTGGGGTGGGGTGGTGCTTAAGAATCAATATGAAGAGGACAGCTCTGCCTTGAGTACCTGGACTCACTTACTTGTGAGCCATCTCTCCGTGTCTCTCACAGGTGCATATGGGGACACACATGTGGAATAACGCCCCTGCTCGGCGTGGCCGCCGCCTCTCAGTGGAGAACCCCATGGCACTGCTAGGGGGCGATGCCCTGAAGTTCTCAGAAATGTTCCAGAAGGATCTGGCAGCTCGGGCAATGAACGTCGACCCCAGCTTTTGGAACCAGTATGCTGCAGCCATCACAAATGGGCTGGCCATGAAGAACAATGAGATTTCTGTTATCCAGAATGGGGGCATCCCCCAGCTCCCCGTAAGTCTGGGGGGAAGTGCCATCCCCCCCTTGGGGACCATGGCTAGTGGGATGGATAAAGCGCGTACCGGCAACAGCCCACCCCTTGTCAGCTTGGACAAGGCGAGCTCAGAAACAGCAGCCAGCCGCCCGTTCACAAGGTTCATTGAGGATAACAAGGAGATTGGCATAAACTAGCCGGACACACCATGACTTGACCACCTGTTCTATCCCATGTCAGTGGTTCTGAAGTTTGAGCATCAGGCTTCTGACCCATCTTGCCTAGATTCCCACTAAAATTTTACCCAGAGCAGAAAATATTTCTGCCATGTGGCTGCTCAAAGGTTACTCCCCTCAACAGTGGGTTTGACTGTCCCTGAGAACCCTGAAACCTTTAAAATAAATCTCAGTTGAAAGAAATGCTGGGAAACCGCCTTAGGAACAGAAAGGGCTCAGACCCATCCACTCCGCTTCTCCTAAAGCTGAGTGACCCCCGCAAGGAGAGAGGGCATCCCCTGAGGTACCCACTTACTCAGTGGCTTTGTTCGCACCGGTTAGAAACTTGAACTCTGCTTTTATTAATAGAACTCTTCATCTTAACGAAGTGGTTTAGTCCTCCCAATGCTGTGTATTATGACAGTATCTTCGTCTGTAGTATTTATAATGTTAAGATTATGCGGGTAACAGACACTATAAGACCCCAACCTTAAATGAAGCTTTTGTACTGCAGAATACATCTGGCTATGTGATTTTTTTTTTTAAAGCAAGTTTGTTTTACTATAAATAAGTGGATTATTTCAATGCAGGCAGAATTGTGAAGTTTATTGGGAAAGATAGCATGCTTTTTGTGTGCAAATACCTGTCAGTAACAAGCCTTTTTTTTTTTTTTAATTTAAATGTTTATAGCTGCTATGTGGACAGTTGTTTCTAGTGTGGTCTGTGGCCCAGTGATTGGGAGACAAGTTACAGACAAACATCACCTTAAATTATTCACAACATTATAAACAGTTGTGAGAAAATATTACACATTATCAAAGCTGTACAATAAAAAGGTAATGTTTGTATACTGTGGTTGCAAACTCTTAATTTATAATATTGCACTTTTAGTATTTTGTATTAGGGAGGTTTGTCTATAATTTGAAAATTTAAAAAATGTAAAGTATTTTATAAATAGTTCTTCAGTTTAAGGAAAATGAAAAAAACACTTACAGTTTCTTGTTTTGTCTTAAGGTCAAACAATACGAGAAATCTATGCTACTTAAACAGAAAAGCCACCGAGACTTGTCAGCTCCTCCGTAAAGTAGGGCCTGCCATTTCTTAAATTAAATGATTTATTTAACTTTTCTATAAAGCCCATTTAAAAACTGTGACCACCCCTAATATAACTTGGATGAATCAACCTTAGGACTGTGGCGTCACCACGAGCCAGGAGAGAAGAAGGGCACATGGCACAGGTGAGACTTCAGCATGAGCTGTTCTCTTTCTCATACACCACTCACAGGATTTGGACTGCTTGTGGCTCTAGCCATTTAGTACAATAAATCAGAGATAGTAGGTGTCTGGCAGTACAATCAGTCATAACTTTGAAATTTTCTGAGTTCCTGATTTATTTATTCTCAGATGAAAGCTAAGCACAATGTCCTCTGATTACTCAGAATACAATCTTCTGCTGACGACTGTGTCGCAGTCACGCCCTGTGGGGAGAGCAGCCGGAGCTGGCTGTGACTCAAGGCTGGGCACAGTGTTGCGTGTACTACCTCATTTTCGTGCATTGCAGGCCTGCTGGAATCTGACACTATGAACTTCCCACAGGAAGATCGTTCGGGAGACACTGTGGGCAGCTGGGTAGCAGTGTGAGGAGCGTATGTCCCCCAAGGAAGAATCAGACGATGAAATCATCTCAGTTGAGACAGAAAAATAGAACGGTCTTTTTCTAACACAACCACAGCAACAACAGAAATCATTGTAAAAGGATGAGCTATTTCTGCCAGCGTGTCATTTAACAGAAAAAGAGTTTCAAAGACACATTAGCTGTTTATTTCTATTGGAAATGAACGTTGAACTCTACAACTGTTTTCCACAGTGAGGAGGTGTGACTTCCCTGTCGTACCATCTCTTCTCGTGGGATGATGGATCGGGTTGGGGGAGGGGGGTTCAAACATTGGAAAAAGAAAACTGAGGTGGCTTCATGTTGCTGTGTTCCAGCAGTTCAATGTTTTTATTTATCTGTGTCTTTTCTGGGGTGTTTTTTTTTTGTTGTTAGTATTTGGTACCATGTAGTGTTCTCTCTTCTCTCAAAAGGATGTGTATATAACTTAAGAAAAGAAAAATGTAAAGTGCTGTAAATAAGATGGCTGATGGAGGTACAGTGAGATGGACCCACCCTGTGTTCAGGGCCATGTCGTCCCTCTCTGCATGGTGAAGAGAGACACTATTTTTATATTATAACACCATGTAGGGCTCGGGGCCTCCCTGAACCAGCTGGGAATTGTTACCTAGATCCAATATTTTTTATTATTAAATCTTGTGGCTTGACACATCTACTGATTGAAATGGATGTCTTAGTCTAGGTTACTATTTTTGTCATATGGAATTGAATAAAATGCGGGATGTGATATTATTTCTGAATTGAGTTCCTTAATTCTTCTAATGGAAAAAGTGGAGTTTAAGGTGAAGGTCATTGGTGGTGGTGCACACCGCTGGTGTTCATACGAGAGAAGTCAGTGAGGTTCATAGCTTAGTTGAGCAATACCTAAGTGTATCTTGATCAGTCTTGAAACTTTTAATTTTTGCCTTTTTTCAAAAGAAAGATGCATCCTCCTGGTTGTAGGGGGTTTTTTTACATCGATGATGGAAGATGTGGTAGAAAACATTGGTACCAGAGACTTGGCAGTGTCCAAATATGAGTGCACTCGTGATCACCCACCTGTCTGTCACTGGCATTAAGTGAGACTATCAGCTTCTCAGGCCCCTTGAACAAACAGATGTGTGTCAACTCACATTGAAGGAAAGGACACGGACAGGAGCAGGCACCCACAGAGTGCTCCAAAGCAGCAGACGGCTTGGCTCGTAAGCCCACTGGTGTCAGTGCTGTATCTGGCAGCTCCAGGTGGGGAACGTCCTTAATTTCAATAAGCTTTACCTCACTGATAACATTTGATAACTTCAAATTTTATAGCTCCTGGATTTCAAGATATACAATCTACTTTTTCTTCTTTTAAAAAAAATTTTTTTAATAACTACTCATGCCTGGGAGCCACAGAAATTTTTAACTAGGAAGTGCCAGGTGACTTTTAAGGAATGAGAAAGTACTAACCACGAAGCTAACCTGCCCAGGCCAGCCTCCAACAAATGTCATAGGCCTTAGAAGTTAAATCCTGTTGGTTTCAGTGCTAGAATAGAAATCACAAAATAAAAACTGACTAAATTAGATAGTAAATTCAATTTTTTAAAATAAGGAAATAGCAAAAATTCTACAACCATTTAAAACATTTAATGTAAATTTAAATGCAGGAGAAAAACAATTTACTTCTTTTATTTCAAAAATACTTTTCAGACATAAAGTCAGGTGTTTTTTGGTTTATCAAGCCTGGATGCATGTTTCCTTCTGACACCAATGCTAATTACTCAGACTCTATTCAAAGAATCATCAATGCCAACAATCCCTAAAAATTATATAAATACATTCATAAGTTTATTACAGGAACCATTAACAGTTAAACAAATGAACTAACTTAAAAGTGCGGCTGAAAGGCTAAAAAGCAATTGTTTTAAACTCTCTACTGTGTAATTTTGTCTCTGCGGAAGCCTGACAGAGGTAGGCTTGTGGCGAGTTTGGTGTTTTACCAAGCAGCGGCAGACATCAGGGGTGTTTCTTCATTACTAAGCTGCATGTATGTTTCCAGCCCAACCAACTTCAAATCACTGTATTTATTTTGGTTGTTTGCCTTATGCCATAGAAGTCCAAACCTCTCTTTTCTTTCCTCTGGTGCACACTTGACACGGGGAATGATGTTGCATGCGTGTGACTCTGTCCAGCCTGTGCCCTGCTAGCAGCCAGCCCAACCTATGCCCCAAGCTTCAGTCCTTGGTGCGAGAGCCCTGTGCACATCTGCTAATCACTGGTACTGAGCTAGGGAGTGCACACCTGTTCATTCCTTCACGAAGTTCCTTTCGACTTAGTGCTTCAGTGAAAGAAAGGGGGCATGAAACATACCAGCAGGTCTGTTTGCTGACTTTTAGCTATGTTAAAATTTGGTCTACAAAATATTCTGTGTGATACTAGGAAGATTAAAACCCCCTTTTCTTCTCTTAAGGAAATACTGGGTATTAATTCTCAGCATTCTTTGCAAAGAGGAAACTTGAAATCATGACAGAGATGCTTCTCTGCCATTCTCCTTTCAGCGTTTCCATACCAAGTTGGCAGGCTGGGGAGACCCTGTCCCTGGCACCACCCCCAGCTGGTGTGCTCTGTGGGGGCAGGGGAGGCATCACTGAAGCAAGGGGAAGTTTCTCTCTCTGCCTCCTTATCTGTAGGAGGGGTAGGATTTGCTTATTCTCCAATCCTTTTCAGCTCTAAAAATTCTTTTTTTTTTTTTAAGAACTACCACTATCGTACACCTTTCTTTTTCCCCCCAAAATGCCCTTGATAGACTGACAATGTTTATAGAGAGAGAAAATGTTAGTGATTACCTAAACATGTTCCTCTGTGTGATAAATATGAAAAATCTATTATAAATAACTTTGCTAAAGAAACTATGTGGAATCATTTTTGGACCATGAAAAACGTGTTTGTATCTTCAATTTAAAAGAAGAAAAACAACATTGAACTTGATGCTTTTAAAAATGCAACTATATTTAAGATAAAATAAAATCAAGCTTTATGAACATAATGCTTACTGCATATTCTATCAGAAAAGAGATTTTAAAAACTTGATTTTTCCATGTGTATTGCACACAAGTACACACAGCCCTCATTAGAATAATATGTATTTGGAAGAGTATGCTAGTTAAAGCAATGGTTATTTCTTACTGTACTTTAGAATGGCATTAGAGAACCTAAACTGTTACAGTCGGTGTTGATGTCCTGACTCGTAACCCTGTCTTCATGTTGGGTCTTTTTTTCTTTGAAAATATCACCGACTGTAATCTGAACAGACCATCTCCAGCTCACATACTCAGACTGACTCAGCATTTCA